CCTGGCGGCGGCGCTGGGTTGGGGGAGGGGAGGGGCGAAGATGGCGGGTCCCGCGCCCGAACTAGGCCGTGCAGCAGCCGCGTGGAGCGAGGGCGGCGCCCCTACTGGATCCGGGCCGCAGCGGGGAGCCGGGCCGCGTGGCGGGGCTCCCGGTCCCCTCCCCCTTCGCAGTGGGCCCCTTCTTCCCGCTGCTGCTCATACCTCCCGCCCCGCTGCTGCCTTTCCGCGGCGCGACATCCGCTCCCCATTGATTCCAAGTTCACGTTCTTCGGGGTGCACGCCCCCTCGGCCACAGAGACTGTTTTTCCAGCTTAAAAAAAAAAAAAAGATTGCTTTGAAATAACGGGATCGGGGGGGAGGAGTGTGGCGAAGCATTTGATACCTTTTCTATTTTTTTTTGACGTTGTTATACTTGTGGCTTTTAATCTGTTGGAAAAAGGGGATGTTGAGATTTGGGAAATTAAATTTTCCAGTTAGGTGTTGCGAATGGTTTTTCCCGTTTCTTTGACATTCTGATCACCCTTTGAGAAGGGAGACTTAGGAAGCCTCTACCATTAGGACGTTGACAGTTAAATTAGATTAATCCAAACCTACCTTAAATAGGCTTTGTTCTCCCAATTCCCTTAATTGTTTCGAGTTGCCTTTTGGGAGAGATCTTATCACAAAACGGGGCTTCATGTTTCACAAATAATCTCCAAGCAAAGAAAATTTTGTTTTGCTTACTTTTGTCTTAGCTTTAAGTTTTCCTGCTTAAATAATTATGTAGTAATAATTTTTGTAGCATCTAGAAAAATTTTCCCACTGCTATTTTGGCACTTTTTAAGAAGTTAGACGTATTTGTGACTTATTTTTCAGGCTCTCATCTACTGACTATTAGGTGTCTAATCCTGCCTTAACAAAATCTCCGGGTAAAACAGAGAGCTTGGTATTTTTCAGAGCACTATAATTGACTTGATATTGTAAAAGGAAAATATTAGCAGTGCTTAGAAACCTAATGTTTCTGTGCCTTTCATGAAAAGTGAAGGCTGTGCTTAAAAGCAGTATATTGTGGTCATTCCCTTGCGTTGTATTCCTTGTTTTCCTGTGAATGTAAAATAGTAATACATTTAATTATAAACTGCATTTTTATCTTCCATATTCTTGAATCCTAACTTTCCTTCATCAAAAGATACATTGCTTGTACATATTTGTATGTCAGTTCTTAAAGTTTTGTGGTAATGTTGAGATTTGGAAAGCTTGTCTGTTTCAGGTCACCCAGGGATACGGCTGAGACCTATGGGCCACCCTGTTTATTAACCACAGTCTCTTTCATTGACTGGGATATTGCAGAAAGATAACTACTATTTATAAAGAAACTCTTAAAGGCATGAACATAAAAATTTGAGGTCTTTCTATGATATTTTAGGTCTGAAGATTTACGGCGTGAATTTGGTCGTTACGGTCCTATAGTTGATGTGTATGTTCCACTTGATTTCTACACCCGCCGTCCAAGAGGATTTGCTTATGTCCAATATCCTTTCTTCAGATGGCTGATTAGTGAGGGGTGTTGAAGTTTGAAATTCAAGTTTATGTAAGTGGTAACATCTAAAAAGTAGTTTATTTTTGTCCTCTAATGTCTATGTCTTCAAATTTTTGAAAATTAATTCTGACTCACACATTGCTCTTACTATTTCTTAAAGTTAATCCAAAAATGGTAAAATATTTAAATTCCCATTCATGCTGGTGAAACTCAAATCAATGATTAAAGTATGTGATTTAAATTTGAATACACTCTGGTTGCTACCACCTAATTTAATGTAAGTCAATTAAAAGTTAATATGTTCTTGTGCTTAGCAATTAAAGTTTGGTATTCTTGTTTGTTAATTTGAATCACTTGATCAAAAACAAATTGTATTACAATGAGGTAAACTTCTTTAATATTGTCCCCTAATTTGCTGTCCTCTGTTGTTACCTCAGAGAATGTAAAGCTGTACAGTTATGGCGACCCCAAAGAGAAAGCATGAAAGAACCTTTAGAGTAGAGTTCAACACTTAAGGCAAGTAGACAAGCCAAAGACCTCTTAAGGATCAGGCTTGAAGAGAAGGGAGAGTTTGGGAAAAGAAAAAATAAAGAAAAGCTGGAAGAAGGACAAGCCTAATGGGAGACAAAGCCTCGCTTTATCTACAAAAGGGGGAAAAGGTTGTTTTTCAAAGTTAAAGATAAAGCCATCTGTCATATTTGGCCAAGCATCTCATGACAAGTCCTTCTGACAAGCACTTAAAGAGTTAAAGGTCAAGATGAAGTTGAATGATGGCCAAGATTAAAGGAGTCATACCTGATGTATCCTACAGAATAACTATTTTCCTTTTTTTTTTTTTTAATGTTTTGTAAGCAGTTAATTTTCAAAATTACTCTGGTTTGGTCTAGTGACAAAACCTGTTACTTGATTTGTGTGGGCCTTTGATGTTATGATTGTGGTGTTGTATAAATGCACTCTCTTCTAGCTTATCAAGTTAAAGTATAACAGGATATAATATTGGTAAGATTAAATTCTGCATATTTTGGTTTTGGACCAGGTGGTTAGATACCACAGAGTAGTAGGCAGTGCTCTTTGGAGTAGCATGAGGGTGTGGGGTTAAGCCATACAGCCCTGCTTAAAGGAGAGACAGGTGCATGCACGGGAACTACTTAGAAACAGCTTGTGGTCTTGTAAGTGTAGACCCACTAGGAATACTGTTTATATATAGTTTTAAAGTGGTTGCTGGGCACACACACAAACCTTTAACTTCTGGAACTTAGCTCTGTGACGTCTGCTGGCCCTGCACTGCTTTAGCACACATGATCAATTGGCCCTGAATGGGTTGCAGAAGGCCTTCTCCCCGGTGTAAGTACCTAATCAGGATTTATAGAAATTGGTCCCTGACCCAGAGTTTCAGATGACCTTACTTCCTCCCTTCAGTGAGATCATCTCCCTGCAACAACAAAGGTTTGGGCTGTGGACCTCAACCTAGGAAAGATTCTTATTGCTTAAATTTTAGTGGGTCTCTTGTAGCTTTTAAGTTAGCAAAATCCTGGTGATACTTAAGGGGAAAGGCCAAAAGCTACTCCTGCAGCGCCAGTGATCAAGGACGGTTGTGGGAATTGGTTGCAAAGCTCTGTTATAGAAGGGATAATAGCTGTCTCTAGCTTGGTAAATAAAGGTAGCAATGCATTCTGGCTTACAACGTTGACCTGATTTTACCTGGTTTGGGAACCAGGGTGCCAGCTGTAGTTTGACCCAAGAGTGTGTGATACTTGAGCCAGAAAGGATGGTCATACAAAGGAATCTAAAGGAGAATCATTTTTAAATAATATTCAGTAGTCTTCTGTGGTCTTCAAAGTAGTTAAAAAGAAATGTTAACACATTTGTCTGTTTCACTTTTTGGAAAGACCATAAAGTACAGGTTTTTCCATGACTTGGCTGCGCCTGCTGCTGCTTTCTCTTCTGACTCCATTCCCAGTCAGCTTTCTTCCTATCCCTGTCTTACCAGGTTAAGTAGAGCCTTACCATCCAGCCCAAAATTCTGTTTTTGAGGGTAGCCCCAGAGAGGATGCTGTGCTCTCATTAATAATTTTTACAGCTCTCGGTGCAAATCCTTTATTAAATTATTATATTCTGTCTCTTGGGGGTAACAAAGTAGTATACCCATTAAGTGAGCTTACACCTTTTAATTAGTTTAGAGCCCAGCTGCATTAACCTTGAAGGATATTCAGTTGCAGTATTCAAGGTGCTAAACTCCCTCTCAGCTTTTGCTTTTTCATGTTGAAAGCTCAATTATTTAAGACTTGAGAAAACATCTCCTTCCACTTAACCTGCATATAAGGGCTTCAGAAAGAGAGCTGGAAACCTGCTGCAGTTAATTTCTTTCAGAACAAAAAGTGGGAATTCCAGTGAGGCAGACCATTTAGTGTCTGGAATAAAAGAACACTAGTGTCAGTCTTGAAAGGACTGTCACTTCAGAGATGTTTTTTACTCAGCTCTCCAAATTTGCACTCTTGTATTCTCTCTCAATTTTAAAAAAATAATAAAAATCGTTAGATTAGCAGTTTTTAGTATAGAGTGGAAGTCTGTACCTGTACCTAACCTATCTCTCTTTTCAAACTTTGTATATCAAACTGCTTTGAATGTGTACTTGGTTTTTTTCTTTTTCTTTTTTTTTTTTAGTTGGAGTCTCACTCTGTTGCCCAGACTGGAGTGCAGTGGCCGCTCCCAGCCACTGCAGCCTCAACCTGCTGGGCTCCGGTGATCCTTCCACCTCAGCCTTCCAAGTAGCCGGAATTACAGGCGCGCGCTTAAGAGCAGAGCTAGGTTTAGCCAGAATAACTATAAAGCCAGAGGTTCTCATGCTATTAATGCCAGCAAGAGGAAGGAGACCGAGACAGCTTAGCTTCACAGATCAAAACAAGTACCAGGAATTCCTGCTTAGGGCTCATAAATATTATCTTGAAATTGTTAAGTTGGAAACCAGTCCCAGACCCATTTCTTTGCAGGAAGTCATTTGTCGGTGTTCATGGTTAGGCCTTTCCAGTCTAGGAGTCCTTACAATTATTTCTTGATAGCATGCTTTTGTAGTCGGTGCATGGATGCAATATGCTTTTGGTATAGTGATTGCCTTGAGTATTGCTTGACTCTTATCTCAGTACCCACAAATGACTAGCATGCCAGTCTTCCCTGCAAGGAAGACTACATGAAATAGTATTAGATGTATATGGGGGGGGGGGCAGCGAAATAAATTAGAAGTTATTAGTGCTTTCATCTCTTGTAAGGTAAGGCATATTCTGCTTGCTTACACAAGAACTATTGGCATTTTCTTTTTTCATTTTAAACAAATATATGAGAAATAGTATTTTGGTTTTATTTTAAGAAATTTTTAACATATGACATAGAACTGACATTTGTTTTTTGTCTTGTTTTGTAAAATTAATTCGTAAGACAGGACAATTTTTTGATGGGACAGCTTGGTAATTCAGCTATAACAGGTCTTATTTTAGTAATAACTTTATAATATATATTCACATGTGATTTCAAAAATGTATGCCTTAGGAAATCACAGCGCTTTCATACTGTGAAGTGTTAATGGCTGAATCAACCAACTAGTAAGTGGAGTATGGTTGATTTTCTAGAATAATATTGGGAGGTTGTGAATGATTCCAGACTTACCTGCTGAAATTTCATTCATTATCAAAGTTTGCAAAATTTCCCAAGCCCCTTAACATTTAGCACATTTGAGGATGTTCGTGATGCTGAAGATGCTTTACATAACTTGGACAGAAAATGGATTTGTGGACGTCAAATTGAAATACAGTTTGCACAAGGGGATCGGAAGAGTAAGTACCCTTATACCTGACATTGTATAATACGTTGCTTTTAGATGTGTTTTGAAGTATTTAAGCAGTTTGTATATCTATTCAAAACCTAAAAAGCTAATTTTTAAGAGGATGGAGTATCTTACATACTTAAAATATTTTTCACATGTGTTTCAGGGTAGGTGTAGTTAGGTTGTACAGATCAGAGTGCTTGAAGAATGAGTTGATCAGGCATATACCAGATGTTACCTGTATACTGACAAGGTAGGAGCATAGGCTTTAGAGTCAAATAGACCCGGATTTTTCCTCAGCTATTATGTTATTTTGGGCAAGATACTAAAAGAGATTAAAATAGCTGCTAAAGAGGAGGAACATTTGGGTAGACAGAAGCTATTGGTAACTCTCGTTCTTGAGTTGGGTAGTAGATTCCTGGGTATTCATTGTGTTATTTAAATATACTTATACCCATACATAAAGTATCTGTTTCATTGAATTGATTGAGATAATATAAAAATTGAGCACTTCCCAGAAGTATGAATATATAATATGTATAAGACATTCAGTAAGTATTAGCTCTCTTCTACTTTGTCATGGTCTCAAAACTAATTATATATTAACCGCATTTTGATACTGCATATCTTTCATAGGCTACCAGTAAGTATTTTGTAATATAAATTGTGTTCCTAATGATTGGAAACCATGGCAGAATAATTCCAAATCAGCATGTGGTTCAAACATCATTCATATTTCAATTTGAAATTTTTAAAAATCCTTTTATGGTATAGATCCTAATGTTGGAGTACTTGGCATGTCTTGGTCATCAAGCTATATAGTTGAGGGGACTTTTAAAAAAATAATTGAGGGCATATTGGAGAGTATCTTTTTTTTTTTTAATTTTATTTGAGTTGAAGTCTTACTCTGTTGCCTGAGCTGGAGAACAATGACACACTCACAGTCACTGCAGCCTTGACCTGCTGATCTCCGGCTATCCTTCCACCTCAGCTTTCCAAGTAGCTGGAACTACAATGTCAGGCTAATTTTTTGATTTATTGTAGAGATGAATTCTCACCAAATTGTCCAGGCTGGTCTCCAGCCCATCGGCTCAGGAAATCCTCACCTCAGCCTCCCAAAGTGCCACCACATCTCGTGAAAGTATCATTTTTAATGTAAACAGTCTTCTGTCTTCCTTGAAAATAAACACACTTTTCCAAGATTAATATTCACAATTAACCTTAATCCAGTCCAAGAAAAAAAATGAAGGGTAAATCACATTCTAGGTCTACATCTCATACCAAATCAGAGGCACCCGTAAAACAGACTTCAACACATACACACTTACTTTGGTGTGTGTGTGTGTGTGTGTGTGTGTGTGTGTGTATATGAAGTGGATGCAAGACTTTTTTTCCTACTTATTTTTGAAAGCTTCAATACTGAGTTTTTAATATTTGTGTTTTATGTATTTTCTAGCACCAAATCAGATGAAAGCCAAGGAAGGGAGGAATGTCTACAGTTCTTCACGCTATGATGATTATGACAGATATAGACGTTCTAGAAGCCGAAGTTACGAAAGAAGGAGATCAAGAAGTCGGTCTTTTGATTACAACTACAGAAGGTCTTATAGTCCTAGAAAGTAAGTGTGATGTGTAGCACAATGATCTGTTTAAAAAAGATGTATTTGTTGGCACTCAATTTTTTTTACTATTTTGTATACATTTAATTATATACATTGAATACTTTATTGGGATTAAAAGTATTTTAGTGTTTTATTTATTTATTTTTAAGTCAGAGTCTCACCTTATTGCACAGGCTGGAGTGCAGTGACACAGTCACAGCTACTGGGGTCAGGCGATCCTTCTGCCTCAACCTTTCAAGTAGCTGGGATTACAGGTGCATACCACCATGCCCAGCTAATCTTTTTATTTATGTAGAGATGAGGTCTCGCCATGTTGCCTAGTTGGTCTCAAACTCCTGGGCTCAGGCAGACTTGCCTCAGCCTCCCAAAGTGCTGAGATTTACAGGTGTGAGCCACCACCCCTGGCCTTGTGATTCTTTTTTAAAGTTTTATGGTTCACTTTTAATTAGAAACTTTGCTTCTCTATAAATAGACATTTGTCACTGTTTGCTTTTTCTGATATGCTTTTTAGCAGTAGACCGACTGGAAGACCACGGCGTAGCAGAAGCCATTCCGACAATGATAGGTAAATAACTTTGCTTTGAAAAAAACTCATATATTTTTCAATTTCAGAGTGAACTTTTGCTCTAAAAATAACAAATTTGATTAATATAGAATCTAATTTTTACTCTAATTATATCTCTCCTCTGTTTTGAAAGATTCAAACACCGAAATCGATCTTTTTCAAGATCTAAATCCAATTCAAGATCACGGTCCAAGTCCCAGCCCAAGAAAGAAATGAAGGCTAAATCACGTTCTAGGTCTGCATCTCACACCAAAACTAGAGGCACCTCTAAAACAGATTCCAAAACACATTATAAGTCTGGCTCAAGATATGAAAAGGAATCAAGGAAAAAAGAACCACCTAGATCCAAATCTCAGTCAAGATCACAGTCTAGGTCTAGGTCAAAATCTAGATCAAGGTCTTGGACTAGTCCTAAGTCCAGTGGCCACTGATAGTATAAACCATGATCATTTTTAGGCATGTATCATTCATTTACTCATAGTTTGGTTTACTTAAATTATCAGATACAATGTTGCAATGATGCTTAAAAACACTTGTTAGTTTTCCCTGTACCAGGCAA